AACCATTCACTTTTATTCACATCTTTGCCAGTGCTTGTTATCTCCTTTTTGTTAATACACATTCTAATAATTTGAGGTGATATAGCATTGTGATTTAAACTTGCATTTCTCATATACCTGTCTTCTTTGGAGAAATGTCTGTTGAGATCGTTTTCCCTTTTTTTATTGTTTTCTTGCTTTTCTGTTGAGTTTATGAATTTAATATTAGCCCTTAATAGGATTAATATTAATTAAACTTAATCTTGTTAATATTAGCAAGATGTTTGTCTTGTGAATATTTACTCTCCTTTCTCTCTTCTGTCTCTTCACTGGTACTGCATTGTTTCCTTGTCTCTGCAGAAACTGTTCATTTTGATGCAGTTCCATTTATCTATTTTTGCTTTGTTTCCTGTGTTCTTGGGATCATATCTAAAAATTCATTACCCAAGCTAATGTCATGTGTCTTTTTCCCTATATTTTTCTAGTAGTTTTACAGTTCCATGTTTGTCTTTAGCCTAAGTGAATTTTTTGTGTACAGTATGAGAAGAGGCTGTAATTAATTCTGAGTGTGAATAAGTATTTTTCCCAGCACATTTATTGAAGAGACTGTCCTTTCCTATTGTGTGTTAACATCTTTGTCAAAAACCAATTGATGCCATGCGTGGTGGCGCATGCCTGTAACCCCAGTGACTTGGGAGACTGAAACAGAAGGATAGCAATTTGGGTCCAGCCTCAGCAATTTAGCAAGGCCCTAAACAACTTAGTGAGACCCAGTCTCAAAATAAAAAAGGTGGGGCTGAGGATGTGGCTCAGCAGTAAAAGCACGCCTGGGTTCAAACCTTAGCACCAAAATAAATAAACAAACAAATAAATAGACCGAGATTGGCACAGTGGCACATGCCTGTATTTGGGAGGCTGAGGCAGGAGAATCTCGTTTGGAGCCAACATGGCACTTTGGTGAGATTGTCTCAAAATTAAAATAAAAGGGACTAGAGATGTAATTCAGTGGTAAAATGACCCTGGGTTCAATCTCCAGTAACACGGCCCCTGCCCCAACCCCAAACAATAAAAAATCCACCAAAACAAAAAAACAAATTTTAATTTTATGCTATAGTTGGAATGTTTGTGTTCCCCTGAAATTCGTATGTTCAAACTCTAACTTCCAAGATGATGATATTAGGAGGTGGACTTTTGGTCAGGATGAGAACAGAGCCCTTATGAGTGAGAACAGTGCTGTTATTAAATAGGCCCAAAGGAGCTCATTCCCCCTTTTGCAATATGATGATGCATGAAGAAGACACTTTCTATGAACCAGAAGACGACTCACTAGACACCAAATCTGCCAGTAAATCTCGTATTTCCAAGCCTCCAAAACTGTGAAATACATTTGTTTATAAGCCACATGGATGGATGAATGTCATTCAGCCTTTAAAAAAGGAGGTAAATCTTGTCATTTGAAACAATATGATAGAGCCTGGAAGAGTATACAAAGTTTTAGTTATACAAGTTAATAAGTTCTGGAAATGTACTCAAAGCAGAGTGCATATGCTTAAATTCTAAGAGGGTAAATCTTAGGTGTTTTCACACACACACACACACACACACGCCCAACATGAACATGAACATCATCATCATCACCACCACCACCACAAAGGCACAGGAGAAAACTTTGGGTGGTGATATGTATTCATGGCCTTAATGGTGTTTCATGGTTATATACTTACCACCAAATTCATTGAATTGTATGAATTAAATCAGTACAGAAATTTTATATGTCAATAATACCATCAATGAAGATGTTTTTAAAAATAAAAAATGTTATAGAATTATATAAACAATATAAAACATTTATGCATAGATATAAAAGGAACACTTCTATAATATTACATAAAACTAAATATACAAAAGCCATAGGAGACTTTGATTTTATCTAGTGTTTTATTCATTGAAAAAATTATTATTAAAGAGAATCAAACTGTTATGACAAATTTCAAAGTTATTAGATCCCCATTTGCTGTTTGGTTTTCTCTCACTCCATATTTAGTTTATTGTACACATTTTTTATTGTTAATCCATTTGAGTTAGTTATAATGTGATACTTCATCCTTACATACTTCAACATGGAACATGCTCATTCTTTAAGAACCCATTTGTAATACTCAAGAAATTTAACACTGAAACAACAGTCTATGTTTATAATTTTCCAATGTCCTAAGAATGTCCTTAATGGTTATTTATTTATCAGGGATGATACACTGCTTTACATCCTAATGTCTCTGATCTTTTAATCAAGACCATTTCTTGCTGTTACTTTCTCCTTCATTCCTTTTTTGTTTCCTTCATGACATTGACTTTTTTTGTCAGATGTTAATGCCAATTATTGCCATGTCAATGCCATATCAATAGTTTTTCAGAATGTCTGGTTGTCATTTTTAAATTGAGACTTAGCAGAACTGTGATATTTTCTTCAAGTTCAGTTTTCTACATGGAATAAACTTTCTGGGTAGTTATATTTAAGCAGGACTACATGTGATTGGGAAAAAAAGGAGAGAAATTGAGGGTAATTATAAGGGAGTTCTAATGATAATCACATCTTAGCTGGCAGGATGGAAAAAAACATTAGAGAAGTGATGGCAATGATAAATGGGGCAGTTATTTCATTGGTAGTCTTTATGAAGCCACTGAGAAGTAAGAAAATTAAATCAGGACCATAGGAAATACAACTAGTCAATGAATGTGTGAGCTCTTTTTCACAAAATATGCCTGTCTGCAATCTCAGTTTTTATGGATTGGGGTAAAACATGGAGGATAGACCCCATACACAAAACTGTTTTTAGTACATGCTGGTATAGCAAATATGTATACATTTGCTAAGTCCTAACCATAACTTTGACTTTATATCATGTCTCTTAAGAGAAGCACCCACAATTTTCATAATTTATTATTCTGCCAGTGTTCCTATCAAATAGGAGATAGTGTTGAAAGTCAACTGTCAGGTGGAACCCTTAAGTGACTATCAGGTCATTTAAATACATTGATGATAGAACTAAGAAATAGAGAACCGTCACACTGTCAGTATCTCAGCCAAACCGTGTTTCAAACCACACAATGCATATTGTTATCTGAATCACTTGCAACATCCAACAGGTAAGGGTTTAGCAGTCAATTCTTTTTCCACCTTTCTATTTTGTGGCTCTTACCCCATTGAAGTCTAAATTTGATATAAGTAGCTGTCTAAAAAGGATTTTTTTTCTGAAGAATATGCCCTCAACAAACAATTTTAGGGAAGAATTTTTAGGGCAATTGAAAGCCATTTTTTATCACTTTATTCTGGTAATTCCAGGCACAAAGCTGGAGCATTTACGGATGTCCAAGGTCCTAATAACCCCTGTACCCAAAACTGACTGATGAGTAGCATCATTTCATGAGTATCAATTCTATGTCTTTGTTCTTTGATTTTCTTTATTATTGTCATCATATGCCAATATTCATTGAATGTCCACCGGGTTTGCGCACTATTATACAATGCTCTATTTATACTTTTTCTTTTTACAAAGTGACATAGGATGAAAAAGAAAGATATTACCTTTAAATACAGTGAAAATTATTTTTCTTTCATTTGTTAAGGATTTCCTCCTCTCCCCTACCCTCTCCTCCTTGATAAAAGTTGGTGAAAGAGAACCCTATCAATAGTGGTATATGCTATGTAAATCAGCTTCTTTCTTAATTACTGAATTGGTTGCAGAAAACAAGCCCAGTCAAACAACATCTATGTTCCACTATAGCTTCATCTTATTTTATACCAGAAACACATTCTGAGTTCCTCACATTGATTTAATTCAGTACACTTTCATCTTGCAAACACTGGCTGGCCTTCTTGGAATTGGGCCTGTTCAAATGATACCCAGTAGTTTAACAGCTACCAGCAGGACTAAAATACAGCTTCTAGTGCCCCCTTTTGGCCGGTAAGCACAATAACCAAATAGAGTTTGAAGTCTGGTATAAATAGATATATGCCACATTTTTTTCTCTATTGTCACTCATTAAGAATTCACTGTTAGGTAATGAGGATCCAAAGACAAATAGGATACAACCTGAGGCACAAAGTAGTTCATAGTAGAATGAGGGTAAACATTAAAGATAAGGTCAACCTTCCCTAATTGCTATTATAGTGATATTTCTCTATTTCAATCAAGTTGTACAAGTTTATTTTTCTATTCTCATGGTAATTAATGTTATCTAGAAATGACTGAAAAATAAAAGCAGCTATTTGACACAGTGTAATTCATGTATATAAAACTAGAAAACACATAGTAAATAATTTAAATATTTCTAGAGTTCTTGCTAGGAATAACATGAATCTGTTTTCCTCTGATTATTAGTATTAAGATTTTATTATTTTAATTCCTGCCAGGTCAATATTATCAGATCTATTATCCAGATAAGGAAATTCAAGAAGAGTCAGTCTTACCTGATAATTCAGTATCATAGACGAGATTAGAACCTGAATGTTCTGAACGTACCATTAGTTTTCTTGGTAGGTTTCATCCAATGGCTTTTGTGTGGTTTCTAATGGTAAATATGAGGGGTTTTATGAAGTCACTGAGTAACATGAGATAGCCTTTTACAAGGGTTAAATACAAACACACACACACATACTCTCTCTCTGGATCATTTCCAGCATCAGCTACTGAGCAGCTGTCACAGTTCTTTTGTGTTGAGTGGAGCTTTTTATCAAGTTATGAAAAGTCCCATATCTAATAACCAATCCCCAGCATCACCCAGTCCCTGGATTGGCACTGCTCAAATGATAACTTGTAAGGCCAAAGCTAAGTGATTACATAAATAATTTAGCTGGATCTTCTTTAATTCTATTAGAGAAGCTTATAGTAATCCTAATTATACTTACCAATGCAGTCATGCAATAATAATCCTATTAAATTTCCAACATTAAGTGAAAGTATGCAAGATTTTTAAAGAATGTATTCTTAAGTTATATAAATCAATGATTTGAGTCAAGATGTTCACAAAGTTGGTTTATTTACAAGGTATCAATGGTTCTAGAAGCAAATGAGACATCTATATGATGTCAACGAAACCTCGTTTCTTTCCAGGTTAGAGGTGGGAAAGTTCTTAGCATTATCACTTTAAATCTAAGCTCTTTAGTACTAAAAATGGCTACGAAATATTTTCAATTCAGTTTATTTCCTGTCCCAAACTATCTTCATAAATTGTTTTCATTTTCTCATATTCTTTTAGACTATTAAAATAGTATCTAAATGAATAATTTTTAATTTTTGGTTTGCTTCCATGAAGAGTTCTAAGAAATAAGAACTACTTTTCTAACATTTTCTGTGTAACTTTTAAGATTGCTTTTCTTTTTTGAAAAATGAGTAACAAAATGACAAGCATCCCTATCAGCACTTTAAAACATTGTTTTATAAGAGACCAAGAGAAACAAAAAACTCTTTTGGGTAGGTTTTTGTGACTGTGTCTTCTCAGGCTCAAAACTTTACGCAATTAAGCCCAGGTTCAAAGACTACAAAATTCATTAGAAAGATGAAATTATTTCTGCAAAAGATTAATGTGAAGCTTTTCCTCAATTATACCCTATTTGTTGTTATCTTTCTTCATGCTCCCATGTTCACTCACTGGTTCATTTGCTCATTCATTCCCTTACCCACTCATTCACAAATAAACATCATACAAAGTCAAAGAAATCAAGTTTCCTCTCCTCTGGATGTATGCAAGTTGAAGAACCACTGTGTTGAAGAGAAACATACAGTTGCTTCTTATGGAAAAACAGTGGTGGGGAAATCTACACCAGAGGAGTCAGGATATTTTAGCAACTCAAGCTGAACTCTGAAGGGTAAGTAGGAATGAGATAAGTAGGAGGGAAGGACTTCCTAGGGTGATAGATTTGCAAAAGTATTAGGGATGGAACAACTTGTTAACTTTGAGGAACTCTTAAGTAAATGACAGATCTAGAGGGGCATAAGTTTTATGCCAAGTTCAAATTTTGTCCTGCACTAAGACATTTCAAGTAGAGGAATAAAATGATCAGATGTGAATTTTAGTAAGGCCACTTAGCCAATAGTGTGAAAGAGATATTGGAGGAGGCATAGAACAACTAGAACAAGAAAATATTAGGGGTCTACTGCAATAATCTATGTTTATAAAGAAGGCAGAAGATAAATTTATAGCCTCACTGTACTCAAAGTGATCCTCAATTAGCAGCATGCAACCCCACTCAGAGCTTGTTAGAAATAAAGAATAATCTTGTACTGTATATCTCTTACCTTCAGAATCAGCATTTTAACAAGCTCCTCAGGTAATCTGTATGTCTGGGAGGTACCATTCAGAAATAGGGAACACAGCAGGGGTAGTTAGTGGGGGAAAATAAAATTGCTATTTTAGGTATGGTGATTTTGAGGTGTTTGAGGAATATCCAATGAAGATGATCCATAGCAGTTAAATATATGGGTCTGGAGGCTAGAAATAAGTCTGGTTTGGAGATGCAGTTTAGCATTTATCAACCTGTTGGTATTTGAAGTCACGGTTTGACCCATTTCCTGGGATTTGCTCAGGAAAAGTATATCCAGTTAGTCAGGCAGAGGGCTCAGGAAAGAGCTCTAAGAAACATTACTTAAAAGTCACAATCAGCAAAAGGTACTCCACAAGAAACAGAAGGAATTTCCAGTGGTAGGAAGAAACAATGTGAGGAGTGGGACGAGGGTTCCAAGTGGCAGGATGGTCAACATTCTCACTTTCCAGCAGAGGTCACATAAGAATAGACAAGAGTCCATTGGATTTGGCAATCCTGATGTCAGAGTAAAGCTAATGGGTGGAAATTATTCACCCATTAAGTTCTTTCTTGACCTTAGTATGTGGGGATGCAATTTATAGAGTCTGCTTTCAAAGTTCAGATGAGTAGAGTATGTGGGAGGAGCTTGGTGTGGAGCCAGCTTGCAAATGTTCTCTCTTCCACTAGATGGTAAATTCTTTGAAGCATAAGGAAGGCACATAAAGATGAGTAAGACCCAGTACTAACCCTTGGAATTTGTAACAAATAAGAAATAAAGATAAATAACCATGGTACAAGAGGAAGCATTACAATTTATAAAACAGTATGGGGATTCAAAACAAGAATACATATGCAATCAGGAAAGACTTCTTACTTCTAAACTGTTAGCACAAAGAAATGCATAAACTAAATACTTAAACTGTATTCATTCCTGACTTTCTCAACAAATTTAATGAATCAGTAATAAACACAGAGTCCCATTCATTCCAAACTCCAAGCAAACTTCAAACTCATTCGTGAGATATTTATTAAAATAACACATTTAGGGAAAAAAATCAATACAATGTATACATCATTACTGAAAACTGTATACCATCATACAAAAAAGGATTTTATTTTGGGAAACTGATTTCTAATTTATGGCAAGTTGTACTTTCAGAAATAAAACACAGAACAACACAATCTAATTCAACCTTAAAGGCTGGCATGCTGAGCAAGGAATGTTCTTATTCTTTGTAGGAGCTCCTTCTTTACACTGTCAGGTACCAGGGCTGAAACACAAAAACAAAAACATCAGAGTAAGATGATTCTTGTTAAAACGTCAATTTGGGATGTGACATTTTATTCAAGATCACCAATAAAGGAATTTCATACATAACCCTCATGGTTCAATTAAAAAAATAGAAAGAGATATCTGAAAAGAAAGTGAATACTTGTAATTCATTATTTTAATGAACTATTTAATACCTAAATACATTGCATACTGATAAGAAGAAAATATAAGAAAAGTATTTAAACTAGCAGTGGAGGCCATTTTAAAATACACAGGCTGTCATACACTGATAAATTTGACTTATACACAACATCTCATACTTGGTCAAAATTACCACAAGCAAAGCCACAAGACATAATGGGGAAACATTCTTTTAAAAAAAAAAAAACAACAACAAAACTGATTCTTCTACTACACAGATATTTCAAACTGATTAGGAAAAGATCAGAAGACTAACAAAAATGGGCAAAGAGATAAAAAGGAGAGACACTGTTCTTATGTAAGAGGGGCTCATTCTTAAGACGAGAAATGAAAATTAAAACCACATTCAGACAGCATATCTTAACAATCAGATAGACCGAAACTCTAAGGTCAATAATAAGAGAAAGGAGGCCTTTTTTTTTTTAGCTAGAGGAAGTATAAACTGGTACATGCTTTGGAAGGTAATTTGGCAATGTCTTACAGAAATAATGAAGGCATATACTCTCTTGGCCCAGCAAAGATGCAAAAAACTGCAACAATAGTTACATGTTATATTTTTAACTTTCTGAATATTGACCTGTGTGACTGTTCTTAGAATATTAAACAAAACAAAAATTCAAAAGAGGCAATTAACTAAAACATAAAATAAAACTATTTGCTTGTGTTCAAGAGAAATAAAAAACTTCAGATAAATTTCAATATTTCCACATACAATTAAACAACTAAGTACATAAATCAAATAAGGGAAATACTTTTTATAAATTGTTGAAATCTATCTCAGAAGACTACAAACTGAAAGTCCACTGGAAATGAAATCAATATATACATTAAAATATTTTTATTTATAATTAAGATGACTGAAAACACATCATTTGCTTTGGGATAAGGTTTAATAAGGTTTAATAATAAAGCAGCAGCTGGAAGGAGTTTTTTCAGGATAAGAAAAACTGTTGTAGTGGTTGTTGCATGCATCTATGTTTGTATATAAAGTTCAGAAAACTGCATGTTGAAAAAGGTCAATTTCAGTGTATGCTAAAAAAAGTAAATGTCTGCTCCTGACAATTAAAGGAAGACTAAAAACAAAACAAAAAAAGAAACAATTTATTTTTACTCTAGTTTTCTTTAATAATAAAAGAAATTCTCATTCTCTAGCAGGGAGTTGCTAGACAATGAAATATCCAAGATGCAAGTGGTGAATAACAGATACTCTAACCTGCATAACCAGTTCCTCAACAATATTAACAGATTAAGTATAAATTACTGAAAACAGAAAAAGAAATTTGAGAAAATTATCTTAAAATATAAATTCACAAGGAGAACAATAATTTCTTTTTTCCATATTTCCCTGAGACACACTAGAAGAAAAAAAACATGTTTTCTAGCTGCAAATAGGCTTTAAGAAATGGTTGAAAAGGATCATGGGATTTCATAGGTCCTACTCAGGAGGGAATTAGTGTTCTGTGGTAATAATTTTAAACTTATTTACTTTTTACAATGAAATTATTGTCACTATTTCTGTGTGAGAGAAAAAAAAACTTGCAGGTCATCTAATTTACCCGTTTCTACTTACAAATAAAAAATGCCACCAACTTTATCAAAATAAATGAAAAAAAAAAAAAAAAAAAAGGTAGTTAACATCTACAGTAACACATCATCAGTATTAATATAATGTTTCCTATCTTTCCCTTCTGTATGTAAATTAAACAAGGTACTTCAGAGGGAAATTAAGGAAAAGGTTGCTCTGAGTCTTAAATATGGATCACCTTGAACATGAAGTTGTGGAACTTCCAAATTCTTAATTAGACATTCAAGACAGACCTTCATTTATTTTTAATAAGGAAAGAGCAGAACAAAGACTTAGAGGCTGGAGTAAAACTCTTGAATTATTTAAATATTTAAGGGGAGACAGGCTATACCTCATAAAAGTTTGTAAATCCTAGCTTCAGATGATAATTGCCTCTGTAAAATCCCATATTTTGAAAACTGTCTTAACAATTCTATCAACTTATGTTGGTATACCGTTTTAGAGCACCAAAAACATTTTACACCTATTATCTCATTTGTTATTTGAGATTTCGAGAGAGGCGAGTAGGCAATTTTAACGCTTCCCTCATGAGGCAATGAAAACACCTACATGATTGTGGAAAGGGTACTTTTTCTTATAAAAAGAAAAAACATCTGAATTTGCAAAGAAAAAAATGTCTGCACCAGCACGTTTCCTTTGACATAGACTATACTCCTTACCTCTGCCTTTTGGAGTGATTTCAGCCACCAAGTCATCAACAGTAACGTGTTCTAGTCCTTTTTCTTTAATTACCTCTTATGCAAAAGTAAAAAACAAATCATATCATTTAAAATCATTATCTGTAAGAAAGATTTTCATAAGGAAGGGTTAAAATCATGTTTTTAGAGTATATATTGGTCTTAAAAAAATAAAAGAGGACACTTCTTTTGTTTTTTCTAAAAAAAATTATAACATAAACACATTAAGTATTCTCCAGATTAAGAAGACAAGTCTGTTCAACTTTCAGCTAAATAATCTGTAACTTAACAAATAACTATAACAATTAGAATAAATTTGGGAACTCTAATATTTATAAAAAGCTGGAACTTAAAACAGAACAGATTTTATTTTACTATAATCATACTAGCTCTTATTTAAATATAACAGAGGAAATAAAACCTATTATGTGAGTCAAACTTGTAATTCCATAGCTAAAAATTAAAAGGTAGAGCTACTTTGTTCCTTTGTTTTCTCAAGGCTGGGCCAAAAGAAATATAAGAGGGGATATGATTAACATCTACTGGATCCCCACTAGGTGCTTTACACCATTTAATATTCAGTTATATAGTGGACTAAACATTTCTCCCACTTCAGAGGTGAGGCAATGGAGGCTTAAAAATTAAGAAACTCAATCCACATAGCTGAAACCCAGCTCCAGTTTTTTAGCCACCAAAGTCTGGAATACTTTAAAGTCAGTGCTTTTACTAACTTGCCTTCTTATAGTTAATGTGTAAACAGTTTCCATTATTTTTAATTGCAGAAACCATTATGAAACAATGGAGATTCATTAAAAATATCCAGAAATCAATTATGCCAAAAACTGAGCAAGACAGGAGGCTCATCTTAGTGATATGTAATCTATCAGACAGTATCATCATCAATAATCAGCAATTTAACAATCTTCTCTTCTGTGTATTTTTTTAAAACTGTAATTCTTCAAGAACTTTTATGGTGAATTTTGTAAAAGAACACAAAGACAGGAGATATAATTCCTGTAAGTATGCCAACTCTCAAGTGCTCAATTTGTTATGAAGTGAAAACATATTAGGAATACTGTTCCTGAAAAACATATATATATATTTTTTCCTTCTTTTCAGTGCTGGGGATTGAACCCAGGGTCTCATACTTGCTAGGCAAGTATATGACCACTGAGGTACATCCTCAGCCCAAGAATCCATTTTGATGGCAGAGAAAACCTTGAGCGCTCATGCCTCACTTGTTTGAAGAGACACACAAAAAAATTCCTAAACATTTTTTACAATCAGGTCTATACATACTTTTAAAAGAGGAAATCACTGCTGAAAAATTCAATTTCTTATTGTTTAAAATTATGCTTGAGCATTTGGACTTTAAAATACTGACTTTACTTTTTTCCTAGTGAATCCCAGACCAACCCAGTTCAAAACAATGGAATCAGTTTATTTTCTAAGTTAAACTGATTACCTTTACAGTGTGCCTTCAACTGATCCTTCCAGCCACATTCAATTAATTTAGCTCTCAGCAACTCTTTGAGGCTGTTGGAAAAAAAGTGTTTTCAAAGTAAACAACAATGTACATCTTAGATAAGAATCTTTGAAACAAAGGTTCAACTACTCAACTAAAAATTCCCTAATTTTCAGTCCCAAAACGTTGTGGCCAAAATTTCATTCTATCACTGAATAGTTCTTTATTTAGTCTTATACAAATCATTTAAACTCTGGGTCCTGCATTTTATTTGGGTCTCATTTAAATAAAGAGTAAAACTAAATGCAGAGGCAGGGTTACAACAGTTCTCAAGAAGTTCTACTCTTTGGTCTTCTTACATATCCCATATCCTTTCATCACCAAGAATATCATGGGTCTTATACAACTTTGACACAGTATTGAACTTAGAGAAGATGCAGCTCTGAAAACTTCAAGTTCCAAAATCTACTCTTTTACTACAAATTCTTATTCTTTAGCTCTCTTATTTCCCTGCTATATCTCCCTCTAACCTTACAGATTGGCCCCCAACACAATTTAATAACTCAGAAGCTCGCATGCATATCATAATTAGCAATATTTTCTTTTTTCTTAATAGTAGAAAATGGTATATATTGCAACTAATGGCATCAGGAATGCTACAAAATATTTTATTATTTTTTGCCACATACCACTCTTAGAAAATCCTCCAACTTCTCAGTTTAAACACATCACATACCAAACCAGATTCTCTTTCCCTGCAAATTGCTTCTCTGTGAATATTCCTAGAGATCCACTAAGTGACATTTCCATTTGATCTTTTACTTTTTTTTTAAATTATTGGTTGTTCAAAACATTACAAAGCTCTTGACATATCATATTTCATACATTTGATTCAAGTAGGTTATGAACTCCCATTTTTATCCCGTATACAGATTGCAGAATCACATCGGTTACACATCCACTGTTTCACATATTGCCATACTAGTGTCTGATGTATTCTGTTGCCTTTCCTATCCTCTACTATCCCCCCTCCCCTCCTATCTTCTCTCTCTACCCCATTTATTGTAATTCATTTCTCCCCCTTGTTTTTTTTCTCCCTTTCCCCTCACTTCCTCTTATATGTAATTTTGTAAAACAATGAGGGTCTCCTTCCATTTCCATGCAATTTCCCTTCTCTCTCCCTTTCCCTCCCACCTCTCGTCCCTGTTTAATGTTAATCTTCTTCTCATGCTCTTCCTCCCTGCTCTGTTCTTAGTTGTTCTCCTTATATCGAAGAAGACATTTGGCATTTGTTTTTTAGGGATTGGCTAGCTTCACTTAGCATAATCTGCTCTAATGCCATCCATTTCCCTGCAAATTCCATGATTTTGATCTTTTACTCTCAATAGAGCTAAAGCCCAACTTTATATTTTCTCCTACTTCATCTTGCTTCCTTCTCAAAATAACTCCATTCTTTTGGTTCTTTGGGCTGAAAACTTTGGCAGCACCTTTTACTCAGATCCCTTGTTAACGCTTCACATCCAATCCATGAGGATATCCTACAGGTTTTAGTTTTAAAATATATACCTAGAAGTCAAATGTCTATCACTATCTTCATCAATATCCTAGTTTAAACCACCATCTTTTCCTTTCTGGACTGTTACCTAAGTTGTCTCCCTGCTTCTTTCATTGTGCACTTCATTATCCTGCACTGCTCAAAACCTTCCAGTGCCTTCACAATTTACCCAGAATAAACTCCAAGACTTGACTACAGCCTAAATGATTCTACATTATCTCTTTTCTCCCTCACTCAGCTTCTGCAGTCTCCTTAGCTTCCATGTATTTCTCAAAAATAGTAGGCAAGCTCATCTCAGGACCTTGGCTCTTGGAACCCCTCCACTTCCTCATATCTTTCTGATCTGTTGGCAGTGAAACGTTCTCTACCCAAAATATCACCTCTCCATGTCTATTCTCTGCTTTACTATTTTCATAGCACTCATCATTATCTGCCATATTACACATGTATTGTATGTTTCCTCCCTTTACAGTGTTAAGTTCCATAAAAGAACAGACTTCATTTTGTTGACTACTGTATCTCCGGCACCTTACAGGGTAGGCCATGTGATTGAAACTTGGAAACTAAGCTGCACGAATAAAAAAAACCCCAAAAAACCACATAATTTTCTCTACTTACTACTAGCTGTACTATCTTCTCAAGTTACCCATGGCACTGTTCTTGATGCCTCCTTCCTCATAAAAAGAGCTGTTTCCACTTTTTTTTAAAAAAAAATTTTAAGTTCTCCTTTCCATTTTTGCTGTTTTTCTTTTTAACCCAATACAATCTTCTAAGTCATTTATCTGTTTTCTGTCTTGAATCTTCAAGTCTATCCTTCACACAGAATCACAGAATACAATTTGTAAAGTGTAAATGTGATCTAATTATTCCCTTTCTTAAAATCTTTCAATAATTCCCATCATTCAAGGATAAAGTAAGCAATGAATATTTTTGCAAATCAGAGCATCCATTTTCCTGACCTTTCTTTGATTAAGAACAAAACACTTGCCATTCTCAGTATAACAATCTGGCTAAGGGTCTGATAATGGAATATGGCCTAGGCAAGGCTGATCATAACTTGCCTATTACCTAAATAAGATGGTAATCAAGCTAGGTCCTGTGTTCAACAAGGCAGTCTGAGCAGTGATATGTAAGTTTGAACTGCTAATCTCTGCCACCTATTTTAAGAATAAAGCCAACAACAGAGAAAAGCAGAGGTGAGAGAAGATACATCCTTGGCAATAATTTTTGCATGCCTAAATTTAGTGATATATGAAGTAACTTTAAACCCTAGATATTTTAATTAGATGAGCTTATATGTTTCTATTGGTTAAGCCAGATTCTGAGTTTAGTTTCTGTTATTTTTAGCTGAAATAATTCTAACTTATACCAAATCCATACTCTGTCCACTCTTCCAGCCACATGCTTTTATTCTTTACGTATAGCTTTCTTCTATAATTTTGTAGTACCCAGAGAATTAATCATGTTGTACCAAGCTCTGTGAATTTGCACATGCCATTAGAAGATAATATCCTCTCCTTTACTGGCTTAGAGAACTGATAATCTTTCTAACCCAGCATAAGCATCTTTTATTGTTCTGTGAGATCTTACCCATCCCCTTAATCCCCAGGTAGAATTGAAAAAATTCCTCCTCTTCCATACACATATATATTTCTCTTTTAAACTTTATCATCTTGCTTCTAGGAGTCTTTATTGACTCCTTGGCCCCTTCTGTATATTTCTAAACCTGTTCCTTCTTCAAATATTTATTTAACCAATTAGGTGTCAGTTATAGCATTAGATTCTGGGTATACAAAACTGTTTTCGCTATCATGGAACTTGGATTATATTGAGAGCTACACACTAGTAAAGTAGGTAACTAGAACAGGATGTGATTAAATGATATGACAGAACAAAGTATTTGGGATTCCATAATTAGATTCCTTGAAGAAGCAATATTTAAAGTAATACATGAGAGATGAACTAGAATTTACTAAGAATGAACAGAAGAGAAATATTTCATAGAAAAGGAATGGCACATGCTGCTCCAATGTGGCTTTATCATGTAGTCTTATGAAAACCTGGGTAACATTATGTCTTCAACTGTAGCTATCTGAGTATTTTTTCTTCCCCACTGTATTATACATTCTTTGAGAATCTATAATAATTTATATATTTATTATAATAATTTCTGGCTTCTACATTGCCTGTGTTGGTCCAAGTCTTGCAAGCAATGTTGCACCTAAATAAACTCTTACAGCTGTTAGGATAGAAGTTTTTGATAATCTCAACTTTCTGTAATTCTTTTCACTGGCATGTTTTGTTTGTTTCTTGATAATTAGATTCTTATAACATTATGTAACTATTAAAGATGGTATAATGTAATTTAATAACACAATCTATTACTTACCGTTCTCTTTCTCCAGTTTCTATTAACTTTTGGTTAATTGCTGCTCTCATCTGCGCATCTTTGTTCATCTTGCTAACCTGGACATCAACATATATGTTCAGATATAGAATATTTATAAAGCATTTTCTTCTAAATCCTCTGGGCAATCATCCTAACAGATTTAATATTCTATCAACTAGAAGGATGTTCAAGTGTATTACTTATATCATCATTCTAAATATAATTCACTTCATCCCAACTCATATTGATTATTCACTAAACAAGTTCCTTCCCCCGTATGTCTTTTATTAATAACTATTATTTTTGGAACATTTATTAAACAATTAATTACCTAGTACTCTGTGTATTTTTTAAAAAATTACATTTAATTTCCCAACCTTATCATTACATATTAACATTTTTTATTTTACAGCTGAGGAAACTGAGGCACAGGAATAGAAAATAGTGAAAGCAAAATTTCAACTCAGGTACTTTGTTCCTAGAAGCCCCCAAACACTTTAACTGCACATGATAAATGACAGGATCATTTCTGCACCTTAACTGCATTCAAAATTTGAGGAAGCCATAATCTAAATATCAGTACAAGATAAAAAAGTATTAGTGAAAAATGAAACCATCAGATAAGACTCTAAGTGCTTTACTTTAGTCTTCACTAGGATTTAGAATTACAACTGCTACACTAGCTGTAGTCTACGTGTATTGTGTGTCTTATCAAATACAGTATTCCCAGTGGGTTAAGTGGAAAACAAATCTCAAACTAATTCTTATCTTAGAAAATTCTCAATTTTCAGCAAAAGCAGACAATAAAACCAAAATGTACAGAAAGGAGAGTGAGGTTAGGTTTTGGGGACATCCAAAAGTTTCAATAAAACTTGGAATAAGCTAAAGCTTTCCCAGCGAATCTGTCACTAACTTGACACCACTTTTCCCGTCTCTCAATTCTTCTATATGAAAACTTACACTGGAAATGAGTTTTCAGTTGTTGCTGTTGCTGTTTAAAGGGGAACAGGGTAAAGGAAGACTTGAGAAAGAATCAAGAAATGTTTACTTTTGTAGTTGGAAGCTAACGTTTTCAAAATAACTACAAGGTCTAGTCAGTACCATATCAGGAATACTTGATCTCGCCTTGGCCCCCTAAAATACGGGTAGTGACCTTGGACAAGTCACTTAATTCCTAAAGGCCTCAGTTTTCTCACTGGTAAAACAAGGGCACTAGGGGATACCTCCCAGTTCAGACATTCTTTGGGAAAATAAAACAGGGCGGAGACAGCTGGAGAGGCGGGAGGGGAGGAGCCAGAAAACAAAGCGAGGACTGGCTTCAGGCCAACTCCAGTAGCACGCCCTGCCGGAGAGCCCTACAGGCCCGCGAACGCGGGTCGGGGAAGCTAACGAAAGACAGCACATCGAAAGGAGCCTGGGCTGGGCCCGGGTCCCGGCCCTGAGGACCACGGGCATAGCTCACCACCATCACCGCGGGCGAGGGCCGTCCCTTCCCAGCGACGAAATGACCCTTGCGCTGACGACCGTTACCTACCACACTCTTCGGCTGCCCGGACTTAGACCCTCAGTAGCTCGGGCACCTAAGCACACAGAAAGCTAAACACGCATTTCCGGGGCGGGGTCTCGCCACCCTGCCTATAAAGTGAGAATTTAACTAGCGCGGGCCGCCTCCTGGTCGCTTAGCCCGCTGGGTAAGAGAGTCCAGGTCCTGCCGTTGAGCGGGCCTTAAGTCCCCGAGAAACTACAGAACCCAGCATGCAACAAGGGTCCGATTTCTCGCGCACACTACATTTCCCAAAAGGCAGTGGCGCCGCAGTGGTTTCTGGGATGGGAACCACGCCGCTTCCCAGCCTCAGTTCCAGGAGTGAAGCGCGGACCTTTCAACAAGAGCTTTATTAATTCCCACGCTTGGATCTTGGAAAGAGATGGAGGTGGCGGCTAATTGCTCCCTGCGGGTGAAGAGACCTCTGTTGGACCCCCGCTTCGAGGGTTACAAGCTCTCTCTCGAGCCACTGCCCTGTTACCAGCTGGAACTTGACGCAGGTGGGAAGCTGTGGCGACCCCTCACACTCCCTTCCTTTCCTCTTTCGGCTGCCATCGGCCTGAGCCTTCCCGCGTTTTCTTTCTGTGTATTAGGGCAAGCAGAACAACATGGCCTTCGTTACTGCCCGTCGCGCTGGGGTGCACACAGGGTGGTTGCCTCTGGATAACGATGCCCTTCAGCCCCGTGAAAACCTCTTAGGTGTGGCTTTTCACCAGCGGGACCCTGGGCCCGCCCTCGACCCCGAGGTGGGGCACACGGGTGATGCCTGGGTTCGGACCGCAGGTCCACCCGGCTGGCCCTGCCGTGGGGAAAGCTCGGGACGTTCTCTGGACGTTGTCTGTCAAAGTGTTAGCTGAGAAGCCACACCTCCTTGGAAAAACCCAACGCCTGTTTTCCTTTGACGCAGAGCCATTTCTTAGAGGAGAAACTACATACCTGTCAGAGCATTTTCAGTTTCCCAGGTCCTGGCACACTGAGGACTGTCGTAGAAAAAATATCGCTAGACATTTTTTGAAGAAAGATGATTTTGTAATCACACTGCTGATTGCTTTGTTTTGGTAACCACATTGCTACTAACTGTTAGTAGCTGGCCAGAACGTTTTCATTGTAAAAAGTACATTTACGTTGATGATAGAGCCCGGAGGTTTGCCCATTTTTTAACACACTTCTGATTCTGGTGCAGGTTGTCAGTGAGTGGATCACACTTTGAGAAATACGGGTCCAGAGTTAATTAATAGACGTTATATTATCAAAGAAGTGAGTGTTTATCCGTTTATTAAATTCAGAAACATCTATAGAGGGCCTGTTCTGTTACATGCCAATGTTATCAAGATGAATAGGACACAGTCCGTAAGTGGATAACAGAACTATTATTTTGTTAGGAAGAAAATGCCAAATAAGTATAAAATAATGTGGGAAGGCAGTGATGGATATGTGTATAAAATACAATGGTAATTTTTGAATAACTAGCCTGTGGATCTGGGCCAGCTTTCTGGAGAAGTTGATATCTAAGTTGTGCTATAAAGAATATAGGTTAACCAGTATGAGAGAAGATACGCTTGATTTTTCGTTTCCTTTTCTGCCTTCCTCCCACCCCATTTTCAGTCTCTGTTTCCTAGTCAGTAAATAGTACCACCATATTTTGTGAGCTGATACATTAGGGAAAAAAAAACAAAAACCCAAAAAGCACTTATTGTTGCTGACAAACTGATTGTTACTGACAAATTCATAGATTGCCTACCTACTTGATTCTTCTAGTCCTGGATGGGCTCATTCATGCATTCTTGTTCAGTTATGGGTCTGCTAGGCAACTGTGCTCATCATAACTGGATTTTTTTTCATCTGTTTGGGTGTTCTTTGCCATTGACTGATTTAAGATTCTTTCAGATGACCTTTGCTTAACTCTCCTTGTGGTCTGTCATCCTTCTGCAGGCTAGCTCAGGCTCTTTGGAGGATGTGAGTAGCAGTGCATAAGTGCTTTTTTCAGGCTGCTCCTTGCAACAAGTTTTTTGCTCCACTGGTCAAAGCAAATCAAATAATCAAGTCTGGAGTACGTGTGGGAAGGTCATAAAGAAGGCGTAGATCCAGGGAGGCATAAAAATTGTGACTGTTAATTTAGTCTGTATAGTTATTTATGTTTGAGTATTTCTTTGTGAAGTCCTCAGTTCAACTTGTCAGCAAGTGCCCTAAACTCCTGATTTTTACTTCTCCATGTTTCCTAGTCCAAATCGTTGTTTTCACTTGCCTAAAATATAGTAGTTTTCTGACTAGCCTTCTTGCTTTCACTTTAGAGATCCTTCATTTTATTCTCCATAAATCAGTAATTATTGTAGTTCTAGATTCTATATTGGATGGATGTTTCCTCCACTAGACTTTGAATTCCATGATGTTTCTCTTTTATTCACTACTTTGTTTTAGTTCTTGGCACATAGTAGGTACTCAATAAGTTGAATGAATGAAGTTGTTGAGGACATTCCATTTGTGGAAAAACATGAGCTAAAAGGAAAAGATCAGTAGGCCGTATGCAGAATGCTGATGCAGTCCTGTATTGGTGAAAAATTTTGCAAAAAGAGGAGTTAGACTGATGAGGGCACTATTCATCTTTTGGACTTTATCCTTTGTTTCCCAGACTTTTTCATGTGCAATTGCAATAAAAGACAAAGTTCAGTTGTCATAGTTTTGCCAGCATTTTAATTTGCTAAGTTGGAATGCACTTTTGCTTTACTGGTTAAATAAAATAAAATAATCAAACCTAAAGTCAGTGTGGGATATTGTAACATTAAAAAAATCAGGAATTGAAATCTCGCAATAAATGATACTCCAAAGTGAAAACATTTAAGCTGGCTGGGGTGGTGAATGGCTGTAATCCCCAGCAATTGAAATTGAGGTAGGAGGATCCCAAGTTCCAGGCTAGCCTGGGCAACTTAGTGAGACCCTGTCCCAAAATAAATATAAAGGGCTGGAGATGTAGCTTAGTGGTAAAGACCCCCTGGTTTCAATCCCCACTGCCTAAATAAATGAATAAATTAATTTACTTTATTAAAATCACACTGTCTCCCCTCGCCCATATTTCACAATGTTGGTCTTAGATTCTGTGTTTAGAAGGCAAAACCAGAGGTAAAGTGGTGCTGTTTGAGGGTTTTTAAGTATAAAGGGAAATGAGCAAATTTGGTGGTTAAATCATTTACCCTATGGCTCTGTAGTTATGTAGAAGACCAGAGGAATGGAGACAACTGTCTGAAGGCTTTTATGAATTACTTGAGAACAAAAGAAACACAACAACAAAAACAGAACAAAAAAAGAAGAGGTTGATTCTTTACAAACTATCATTTCTAGAGATAGTTAAGGTATAATTGAGGAGCTCCTGATAATTTGATTTTTTTTATCCTAACCCAAGGAGTTTAATTTAGCAAACCTTTGGTTGCACTCTTGGGTGTGTGAAATACTGTTTAAGATATGAGGATGCAGATGTGGTTTCTGGTCTCAAAGAGCTTGGCTAACAGGCTTATTTTCTTGTCTGAATATTATTAAGTTGTTCTAGAACTACCCCTGCAACATAAACAGTGTTACTTTGTCTTTTTCCACTCCAAAAAACTAAGTAAAAGATGTTGAGAAGTGGGAAGGGAAGGGGAAGTGCTGGGGAGTCACATTGGCCAAATTATATTGTTAGATTGTGTACATGTATAAATATGTAACAATAAATCTCACCATTATGTATAACTATAAAGCACCAATTTAAAAAAAAAAATGGAAAGAAAGAAAAAACCTAAGCAAAAAATTTGTTTCCTAAAATTGTAATTGTCTTTGATCCAGCAGTTCCATGTCTGAGTATTTATCCTATAGACATCCTTTCCCTAGAATCTTATTTAGATCTTTTTATGTTTCCCCCTATAGTTCACCTAATTAATTTGTACTTTATTCTTTTACTTCTTCAGGGATTCCTTTCTTGACTACATAGTTAGAGTCCATACTGTAAAATCTGTACAAGTTAGAATCTCTTCTGTTCTGTACTTTCCAGTAGTACCCTGTGCTTCATAGACACTTTGCAGCATTCAGTGTCTGCTTTTGTGCCAAGAGTCTTGGTTCTGTATTGTGTCTATCTTTTTCAGTGCTTTATCTGTAGAGCTGGAGGTTGCTTGGTTGAATAGTGGATGATTTTGTATCACTTGCACATTAAACAGGTTTATTGAGATATAGTTAACAATAAACTGCATATATTTAAAATGTACAATTTAGCACGTTTTGGCATGGATACACCCATGAGGTCACCATAATCAAGATGATAAACTTAGCTATCATCCCCCAAAATTTCTTTGTACCCTCTGTAACTATACACCTATCCCTCTGCTCTTCCCATATTCCTCCCATCCCCAAGCAACTATTGATATGTTTTGTGACAATATAAATTAATATGATTTTCTAGAATTTTATATAACTGGAATTATATACTGTGTACTATGTCCCCACTCCCCGCACCACTCCTGTCTGGCTTCTTTTACTCAGCACGATTATTTTGAAATCACCCTTGTTGCAAGAGAAGGGTATTAGAATTTATGCCTATGATTGTGGATTTCTCTATGTGTCCTTGGAGTTTTATAAATTTTTTGTTTTATTTTTTGGCGGGGTATCAGGCATTGAACCTAGGGGCACTTGCTTAACCATTGAGCAACATACTAGCCCTGTTCATTTGTATTTATTTTTTTGAGACACTAAGTTGCTTAAGACCTTGCTTAGTTACTGAGGCTGGCCTTAAACTTGTGATCCTCCTGCCTCGGCTTCCAGAGCTGTTGATTACAGGCATATGCCACCCCACCTGGCTAATTTTTACCATTTTTTGCATGATATATATTGAAACTTTGTTGCCAGCTTCATAAACATTGTTATGTTCTCTTGATAAATTGACCCCTTTATCATTATGAAATAACCTTTATCCCTAGCAAGATTTTTTTTAGTTTTTTGCTCTGAGGTCTGTCTGATATTAGTCACCCCAGCTTTCTTTTGATTAATTATGCCATAGTATGTATGTGTGAGTGTATGTGTATATATGCATATGTATACACACACATACATATATACTTGTGTTTTAATTTCCTTTGTTGGGGCTATCAGCTGTACTTTTTTATTATTTTAATAATCACTTTAGGATGTATATTGGTTACATTTCAATGATAGTATATTATTTACCATGTATTTTAAGAACCTTATACTTTTATACCATTTCTTCCTGGCCTTTGAGCTATTGTCATGAATTTTAGTCTTATATGTTATTGTATATTTCACAATATATTATTTTTATTTAAATAATTATCTCTTAAAGAAATTTAAATAAGAAAAAAATATTGTGTATTTACTTACAGTTGTTACTTCTGGTGTTCTTTCATTTATTTAGATCCATATTTTTGTGTATTGCAATTTTCCTTCTGCATGAATGAATTTAATTATTTCTTACAATCTGGTAATTAATTCTTTCCATGTTTTAGTACGGAAGGATCTATATTTTGCTTTGATTCTTCCAAAGATATTTTTGCCACATATAGAATTCTAAGTTGACAATTTTTCTTCTTTAATTTTGTAAAGATTTTGCCCTGTAGTCTTCTTGCTTGTTTTGTAACTGATGAGAAATCTGACATTATCCTGTCTTTGTTGCTCTGTACATAGCATACATTTTTTCCTCTGGCTGCTTTTAAGATTTTTCTATTTTACATTGGTTTTGAGCAGTTCAATAATTATGTGTGCCTAGGTGTGGTTTTCTTCATGATTCTTATTCTTGGGGTTTGCTGACCTATAAACTCTGAGTTCATAATTTTCTTCCAAATTTTTCTCTTGTTCTCTCCTTTGAGAACTTCATTTACCTATTCTGGAAGTTCATCATTACCCCCCTTTTATTCTGCATTATTTTTTCTCTTTTTTAACTCTCAAGTCTGATTTAAAATTTTTTTATATCTTTTATGCCCCTGCTTATGATTTTAAACATATGAAATATACTTGTAATAACTGTTTTAATCTGCTACTCTGCTAATTATACCCTTTATGTCAGTTATGTATTAGCTTCTATTGATTGGTGATTCTCCTCATTATGGGCTTGTTTTCCTTTCCTTTTCTGCTTTGATTGGGTATCAGAAATTGTGAATTTACCTTATTGGATGCAGGGTATTTTTGTATTCTCATAATCTTTTTTTCTGGGTTTTATTTTAGCTGCTTGGAAGCAGGTTAATTCCATTGAATCTTGCTTTTAAGATTTGATAGTCTGGTTTAGTCTAGGGCTAACTATTCCCCACTATGGAAGCAAGGCTTGCTGTGTACTCTGCCCAGTATCCCACAAATTAGGAGTGTTTTCATTCTTCCTGTTTGGCCTAGTCACTCTGCAGTCTTGTGTGAGTGTCCAGTACCTTTCCCCATAGTCTTTCAGATTGTTCTTTCCTTGGTTTGGGGTTGGCTCCTCCAAACACATGCTGAGTTCTTCAGGGAGACCTCTGCAGATCTCTGGGGTTTGCCTCTCTGTTTGCTACTCTGACTAATCAACTGTAACTTCCATGGTTTCTCCAGACTTTCAGATCAGTCTGCCTCACTTTCCCATTTTTTTATGCCTTGGTCTGGAAACTTCACAAAACTTTGTAGACTGGGGCAGTGATAGGGTTCACCTCATGTGTTTTGGGTTTCTTAGTGATCATTTTTCTATGTTACCAGATGCCTAGTATCTTGGAAACTGTTGTTTCATGTAATTATGTCTGATTTATTTTATTTTTTCTTATTAGTTATTTCAGATGGAAAAACAGAATTGCTTCCTATTCCATTTTGACTACAAACAAAAATTGTTCAATATATATTTTTAAGTGAAAACATAATTTCTCTAGTAGAGTTTACTATAAAACTCCTGTCTACACTCTGTAGGAAATTATGGGGAAGATAGCCAGATAAATGTGTTATGATCCCAGAAGCATTTTATAAAATAGTTTCATGGGAGCAGTACTCCTGACTTACGTCCTGCCCTGTTTTGTAAGCCTTGTTTTAGAACTCATTATACATACTCATAACTTTTATCTTTTTATATCTTCATACACAAATAGCAAACTAAGCAAATAGTAGAAGACAGTTAATTCGTTGGGTTGATTTTAGAAGGTGAGTGGTTCAAGAAGTGAACTTTATAGATTATTATTCTTTGCTTCTCCAACACTACTTTTTAAAAACTAATGTGTTTAGATAAATATTAGGTTACATCATATTTAATTGATGTCAAAAATTGGAAATTTTATGTAGTTTAACATAATAATATACTTTGAGAGTTCAAGAAGCAGTAGTGGATACCATCCTTAGCACCATTAGCAAAAGAGTTGAATCTGTTTTACTTGAAAACAGCTAGGGATGTGGCACCCCTGGGTTCAATCTCAGGTACCAAAAAACTACTGCACTGAATTCTTTATAAAAAGGGTTCCTCTTCAACCATTTCAAAGATCCCAACAGATTAGAGGTTCCCTGCCTCTTCCTTTCTTTCTTGGGAAGGCTCTACAAAAGAGCTTGCTGGTGGTTAAGCTTTGTCACATTCTGGACACTGCTTTTCTCCTTTCGCTTGTTCTGCCTCCCATCTTTATACTCAAGAAGATTGATGTGATAAATGTAGTTACAACTTTTTATTTCTCATTTAGGGCTAGAGAAGCAGCCTTTTTCTGCACACTAAGAGAGTTTTACAAACTAGTAAGCATGCCTGTGCTGCTTGCTTCTCTGTCACAATAACTTACATAGATTATCTTATTGAAATGCAACAACCAACTCCTGTTATATCAAGGTCTTTTAACTGGTTTTCCAGAGATAAATGTGTTTGCAACTGAGATATAGTAAGGCAAAAGGCTAAGAAACTTCTGACCTGTTCATGATTATTGAGGGCTCTTTGCTCCCATAGGGAGAAAATGTATTTGTTATATTATTGTTTAAAGTTACTTTTTTGGGCTGTTACATTTTCATGGACATTTCCAGTGTTTCATCACACAGTGGTCCTAAAAAAAAATGGATAATTATTTCCTTCCTATCCATAGAACATATATTTGTTAACCATTCCTTGCAAGTACACACTTCCTCAAGTGAAACAGTTAGTTTCCTCAACTTCTGTCAAGTCTTTCAAAATTATGATTTCACATTTGTAGTGTTCCTAATGGGTCTTCCTGAATTTATCCCTGTTTTGCTCCAGTCTGTTTTCCACATTATTTCCACCTATAAAGGTCACTTCTTGAACCACTCACCTTCTAAAATCAACCCAACAAATTAACTGTCTTCTTCTATTTGCTTAGTTTGCTATTTGTGTATGAAGATATAAAAAGATAAAAGTTTGAGTGTGTATAATAAGCATTATAAGCACTCTCTTAAAAACTCACATCTGAACTTTACTCTCCTGCTAAACAACCTAATGAATTCTTATTACACTTTATTATCAATAAAGAAATAAAGACAAGGACTTTCACAGTCTAACTCCTCCTGCCTAGTTCTCTAACTTCATTCATCTCTAGCCATTCTTTGTAACGGTTCTTTTTGTTCTGTATGTAGCAGTATGTCCTTCGTTTGGTTCTTTGAACATACGGTTTTACTCCTACTTTTTTTGCTTAGAGTACAGAGTTATATGTGGAAGTATGAGCATATTTCTTCTTAATTCTTACTTATCTTTTATGTCTTGGCTTAATCCTTGAAAAACTTTCATTAGTCTCCCAAGTAAAACTCACTACTTTTTGTGTTCTTTAGTAACTGGTAATTTTTCTTTATAACATCACAGTTTAATATATAAAATTATGATATAAAAATTATGTAAGATTTATGTAACTGAGTACTGTTCATTTCTTCACTTAATTGTAAGTGCTAAGAAGATACTCTTTGCTCATCACTGTATCTATTAAAATATTTTCTAGATAAATGATTGAATAAGTGTAAGTTAGCCAGGATTCAAATCAGGTATTAGAAGCAGGAAAGGTAAGTAAGTATTCTGCGAGAAGAAAATAGTTGTGATTAGAATACAGTAAAGCATATACTTTATATCAAGATAGTATATTGGCCCATCATAGTCCACTTACATATTTTCTATTGCAGAAATTAATTACAGGTCCTGGGCAGCATTGAGCTATAAGCATGGAGAGGCAAGTAGGAGCTTGAGAGGAAGAGAACATGTTTGTCAGATTTAAAATGAGGGAGGCAGCTAAGGTTTTAGTGAAGAATGCCCTTTTCTGGAAGTAGGAAGCCTTGTGTCTATTCCAGCTGTGACACTGTTTTGTTCTGTACTATTAGAAGGATTTGACATGATATTAGAGAAGTTGCAGTTGGTGTTTATATTTATTTCCATATCTGTGTAGTGATCAAATAAAACCATTCTCTTTATTTCTTAATGTGTGTTTAAAATGAAAATATAATAAAATGGAAACATTTAAAATTATAAAAATACTTTAAAAAATTGGGCTTATTATTTGCCCTAAAGACAGGAAACCTTCATTCTTAGAATTTGTTCTTAATTATAAAAAGTGCCTAAAAGAAGAGTTATGATTTAAAAAAATCTATCTACTACAGTCACTATGTTCTAGGTTCTAAAGGGTATAACCATATCCTCCTACTAGTCATCTGCACACAGTGCATATTAGATATCCAGAAATTATTAAGTGATCATATAGTGAATTGCCCTGAAGCAGCCTTTGTGATTGTCATGTATGGTTTCCTTGCCTTTTAGGTATTCTGTAAAAAGGAACAATCTGAATAAAACTCTTGATGATTATGTTTATTTATTTATTATATTTCAGCTGTGGCAGAGGTAAAACTTCGTGATGATCAATATACACTGGAACACATGCATGCTTTTGGGATGTATAATTACCTACACTGTGATTCATGGTATCAAGACAGTGTCTACTATATTGATAACCTTGGAAGAATAATGAATTTAACAGTGATGCTGGTAAGAAAAATAAATATACTATATAATAATAGAATTTATCCAGTTCTATTTGATCTTTAATTTTTCCTTTGAATATGATATCCACGCAATTAAGGTACATATATCTTTAGTGTATATATAAGGCTCAATTTTTGCTTGATTCAATTTAAATTTTGTCCTTTGTTCCTGTTATCCTCAATTATTTATTCCGGTCTGCTCCCATCATTATGTGATCTATTTAATTGAATTTATAAATCTGGATGTAGCTAATTTGGTTGCTTTTTCCCATGTGATATGTTTTTAGTTTTAGTTGTTACATTAGTTATTTTTAACTGTATAATTGGGTAAAACATTTAGGATTGTTTGATCCATTGTAAATTGATTCTTTTAATATTATAAAATATCTCTCTTTATCTGTAGTATCTGGTAATAAATTTGTCTTAAAATCATCTTTGTCTGGTATTAGCATAATCATTGTTGGCTTTTTTAAAATTATTATCTTTTTCTTTTAATTTATCAGTGTTTTTTTTTTTTTGGGGGGGGGTTGTCACACTTGTAGCCTCATACATACCAGATAAGTGCTCTAACACTGACCTACATCCTTAATCTTTTTCTAATTTTATTTTAAAATTGGGTCTTGCTAATTTGCACAGACTAGCTCAAACTTGTGATCCTCCTGCTTTAGACTCCTAAGTAGCTGGTATTGTAGGTATGTACCACAACTACTGACCATCGTGACCAACTGTGTTCTTATTTTTAAAGTGTATTCCTTACAAAAAAACCTTTGGTTTTCTTTTAAATGCAATATGATAATCTTTGTCTTTTTATTAGAGGGATTAATGTATTTATATTTAATTTAATTACTGATAGCCTTGGGTTTTATATTGCCATCTTGCTATTTCTTTTCAGTTTATTCTTTGTTCCTTGGTATCTATGTTCTTACTTTTGGGGAGGCTAAATTGATATTCTTCATTTTACTTTCTTAAAATTCCATTTGATTTTCTCTTTTGACTTTGTATCTAAACCTGTTAGTATTTTATTTATAATGGTCAGTGTAGAGATTATAGTATTTGTCCTCAGCTTGTCATAGTCTGCCTATGATTCCACTTAAAGTGTAAAATCCTACAGTAATTTAACTCCTTTTACTTTCTTCCCCTCTCATCCTTTGAGCTACTTTTGTCATATGTTTTACATCTTCATATGTTGTAAGCACCATAATACATTGTTAATATATTTACTTAAAATAGCTAGTAGTCTGTCCATTGGTTTCTAACTACTATCTGCATCTTCCAGTCTTCTTACGCATTGTACCTACAAGGTACTCTAATTTGCTTGTCTCCTTTTACTGCTTCTTTCTTAAATTTTTACCAAATCTAAACTTTTTAATTTTAGAAGAGACAAGGTGCTCATGTAATTTCAAAAACAGAAAATTAAAAATAGTTTTTAGTGACATCTTCCTGACCCTATCTTTTTTATCTGTCTTGTCTTTAGTATTCATTTTCCAGCAATTTTTTAAAAGTTTTTTGTTTGTTCTTTCAGAGGTAATGGGTTTTTTTGTTTATTGATTTTGCAAGTATACACCTGAAGTGATATATATGTATATCACTATATGTGTGTGTATATGTATATATTTTCTTAAAAATACAAAGTTTTTCTTTTGGTATTTACAGTTCATAAGGCTTTCTTTTCAGCATTGTCTTCTACCACTTGTATACTATATTCAAGCAACACCAAACCCTTGCAGTTCTTGAGACAGACCCTGTGTCCTATTGCCACTAGACCTTTTCTTATGTGATTACCTCTACTTGGTATATGCTCTTAGTTCCGTGTCAGGCTGCTTTCTAATTTTTAATTAAGGCCCAGTTAATTATTTCTTAATTTAGGAGGCTTGCCCTGACATTCTGCTGACTCAAAAATATTCACACCACTGACTGTCAGATCTACCTGGGCTGTGAACTCCCTCTATGCCAGAGCAATTTTACTGCACAGGGTCAGATACTATAGGTTTTGTGGGCCTATCCCTTGTCATAATTATTGACTTTCTGTTTTAGTGGGAAAATAGCAATAAACAGTTATAAATGGATGATTGTGATGAACTTCCAGTAAAGCTTTATTTACAAAAGGAGACAGAGGCCCAGAATTGCCTTGTGAATTATAATTTGCCTACCCCTGGACTAAGGCCATAGATCTTTCTTATGTTTCTATAATCCTAGCATCCAGCATATGACTTAGTTAGTATATTTGTTAAATGGAGATCAGCTGTAAAAAACTCATTCAGACTCTTTCTTTTATTTCTAATCCAGGTATAGGTTCTGTATTGGTGTTGCAGTGTTTGTCTCAAAATGTTAGGGAGGAAAAGTTACACATTTTCTGGTACTGAGAAATCTTCCCTCTAGGTGGCTCCAAACACCTAAGCAAAATTCTGATTGTTTCTTGTGTGAACAGAAGAGATAGAATCTGTCCTCTTAAGTCCAATTGATTTTCTTCACTAGAGCTGCCTTGACTTAGAATTACTTCAGATCCAATGTGTATAAACCAGTTAAAGTAATAAAACATATATGTGATTTAGTGACTATGTTTTGATTTGTATGACCAAATAAATTTTGTTTTAGAGTTGTGGATATACATGTATGTATATGAAAATTTTCCTGTAATTTTGCTGATAACAAAGATTTTTTAAAAGTTAAAGCACAGTGTGTAAAAATATTTTGAAAAGTGAAAGGTAGTATGCACATTTAAGGAGGTGGAATTAATATAGGATGCCTTACAACGAAGGAAACTAAGGAATAGAGATATAAATAACTTGTCTAAGTCAAACAGAATTTGAAGCAGAGTCTGGATTTGAACTAGTCTGTTCCAGTGTTCTACAATGTTCCACCCATTCTCCTTATTATTGGTTAATAAGACAATATATCAAGGTAAATAGTATGATGTGGCATTGTCCAAGCAAATAGTTTTTTGTCTTGACAAATTAAAATCCAGTTTAAATTTTTGTGCTTAATGTTAACGTTTATATATTCTTCTTCTTTTAAATTTTTATTGACTCTTTTTAGTTATATGTGACAACAAAATTCATTTTGTTATAGTTATAAAAGCATGAAATATATGTTATTCTAATTAGGACCCTATTCTTGTGTATGTATACAATGGTGGATTCCCTGTAGTGTATTCATATATGTACATAGGAAAATTATGTCAGATTCATTGCACTGCCTTTCCTGTTCCTGTCCCCTTTCCTTCATTCCCCTTTGTCTATTCTACTGAATATCTGTTCTTTCCCTCTCTCTGTTTATTGTGGGTCAGCTTCTACATATCAGCAAAAACATTTGGCTTTTAGCTTTTTGGTCTTATGTAATTTAGCTTGGTAGTCTCCAGATCCATCTGTTTACTGGCAAATGTCATAAAGACATTTTTCTTAATGGCTGAATAATACTCCTTTGTGTATATGTATCACATTTTCTTTATCCATTCATCTGTTCAAGGGCGCCTAGGTTGGCTCCATAGCTTATCCATTGTGAATTGAGCTGCCATAAACATTGACGTGGCTGAGGTACTGTAGTATGATTATTTTAAATCCTTTGGATGTATACCAAGGAGATGGGTAACTGGTCAAATGGTGGTCCCATTCCTTGTTTTCTGAGGAATCTCCATACTGTTTTCCAGAGTGGTTGCACCAGTTTGTAGTCCAACCAGCAATGTATTTGTAGTCTTTTTTTTTTTTAATTTTTTAATACTTATTTTTTAGTTTTCGGCGGACACAACATCTTTGTATGTGGTGCTGAGGATCAAACCCGGGCCACACGCATGCCAGGCGAGTGCGCTACGGCTTGAGCCACATCCCAGCCCCATATTTGTAGTCTTGATCATTGCCTTTCTAACTAGAGTGAGATGAGATCTCAGTGTAGTTTTAACTTTGCATTTCTCTAATTGCTAGAGATGTTGAACATTTTTTATATATTTGTTGACCATTTATATTCTTTTGAGACGTGTCTGTTTAGTTCCTTTGCCCATTTATTGATTAGGTTATTTGTGGGTTTTTTTTTTTTGTGTGTGTGTGTGTGTGTGTGTGTGTGTGTGTGTGTGTTAAGCTTTTTGAGTTCTTTATATATCCTGGATGTATCTGAGATGTATGTGGCAAAGATTTTCTCCCATTCTGTAAGTTCTCTCTTCATGCTGTGGATTGTTTCCTTTCCAGTTAAGAAGTTTTTTAGTTTGATGTCATCTCATTTTATTTTACTTCTTGTGCTTCAGGAGTCTTGTTAAGGAAGTCAATTCCTGAGCCAGAATGTTGGAGTGTTGAGCCTACAATTTTTTCTAGTATATGCAGAGTTGCTGGTCTAATTTCTTGGTTTTTGATTCACCTTGAGTTGACTTTTGTGCAGGATGAGAGATAGGAGTTAAATTTCATTCTTCTACATACGGGTTTCCAGTTTTCCAAGCACCATTTGTTGAAGAGGCTATCTTTACTTTAGTGTACATGTATGGTGCCTTTGTCTAATATGAGATAACTGGTTTCTTGTGGGTTTGTCTCTTGTGTTTTCTATTCAATTCTCCATAAGGAGTACTTTGGCTATTCTGGGCTTTTTATTTTTCCAAATGAATTTCATTACTGCTTTTCTGATTTCTATGAAGAACATCATTGGAGTTTTGATGGGAATTGCATTGAATCTGTATAGCACTTTTGGTAGTATGGCCATTTTTACAATATTAATTCTGCTTATCTAAAAACATGGGAGATCTTTCTATCTTCTGAGATCATCCACAATTTCTTTCTTTAGTTTTCTGAAGTTTTCATTGTAGAGGTCCTTCACCTCTTTTGTTAGATTGATTCCCAAGTATTTTTTTTTTGAGGTTATTTTGAATGGGATTTTTTTCCTAACTTCTCTTTCCACTAATTCATCATCTTCTTAAAATTAAATTTGTTCATAATGCAGTAAATTATATTATATATATAAATATACAAATGGAGATGTATTTGCTCAGTCATATGTTAGTAAATGTTGAACAACCAACTTTCTGGA